AAAAAAAAAAAAAAAAAGAAAAAGGAAAAAAAGACACGGATCGTCAGCTGTCTCGACTCGCCTGCGATCGATCCGATCCGTATTTTTTCTTTCTCTCTTTTCTCTTTTTGCGTCGTCGACGATCTTCCCGTAAATGAGAGAAAGTTCCCGGCGCAAAAAGGGGTGAGGGATGGGGAGTGTGAGAGGAGGAGGAGGGGGGGGGAGAGGAGGGACGGTTTTCATTTTCTCTCTTCGGAACTCACAGTTCGAGGAACTTCTTCATCCCGTCGACGAGCTTCTGTCGCTATCCATTCTACGTACGAATTGCGCAGGAAAATTTTCCACGAGCGCGCGCGCGAGAGCAAGAGGGAATCGAGGTGAACGTTCCTCGAATAGATCACGAGTGGCGGGCAACGCACAGCCAGAGAGAACCGAAGCACCGCCGTCCGTGACCCAGAAAGTATTCCTACTTTACGAATCGTTCTCTCGTTAGTCACACACGTCACACGGTATCGCGGCTGAATCGACGTCCTTGAGCATCTCCGACGACAACGACGACGACGACGATGCTCTCTCTGTCTAGCCAGCGAAAATACGAGAGATTCGCACGCGGTGGCACGTGCTTCGAGACGACTGTCTCTAGTAGTAGCACTGGATGGGACCCCGCCACTCTCTTCGTTCCAACGCGCGAAAGCGAAACGTAACGATCCGTGGCGCACGAAACACCGTCGTACGACTGGGAAGCCTTACTTTGTCGTTGTTACCAGTTGTTATCGCCGAACCGATAAGGGGTCAGCCGCACGATAGAGAAGGAGAAAGATTGCGGTTGAGTGAAAGAAAAGGAAGGATTACGCGCGCGCAAAGACAGGGAGGGAGAGGGGGGCAGGAGAGGCAGGGACCGCAAATCCGAGAACCCGAATGTTCCACACACCGCACCGTAGTTAGAGGCTGTTTTTCCCCGGGCTGTTAGCGATGATAATGCGCGCGGCCAGTCTAAATACCGCGAGACCAGCCGGTAAACTGAGCGCTCGCCTGAGCGGACTAATCGCGCACGGCGCACCGACTGCGTGCCATTTAATACTGCGTGACTGCACCGTTGGATCGTTTGTAATTGCACGATGACGACCGAACGTCTATTATCGTATGATGGGGGCCCGAGGTATTGCATTTGCAAAGTTGAATGAGTGAACGGAGACTGTGGGCGGCGGTAATTCTCGTGACCGTTGGAAGTTCAGCAGGAACTCGAACTTCGCCGCGTTCTCGTTTCCCCTCCGCTGTGGACAGCTAAGTATCTTGCAGTTCCCCTCCCCGTTTTCGTTGTTAAAGTGCAGAGCAGAAGAAAGAAGGAAGAATGTGGAATGGAAGTAATTGAAGAAGAAACGATGTCATGCGAGAGGAGTGGCAACGAGGTGAGAGGAGAAAGAAACGTGGACAAACGTTTTGATCCTCACTTCCATAGGACGAAGGACGTGATCATCAGCATCACCGCCAGACAAGCGCAGATCACACCGGCAATCACCCCGCTGCTGAACCATATGGTGCTGTGTGGCAATAACGGCGGCGCTCTGTTGCAATCGCGAATGCCGCGGACCTTCTGCGGTGCGGAGCCTTCGCCGCGTATAATCAATCGATTGTCGATAGCGCTTCGCGTACCTCCGCGCACCACGATCTCGTACACGCTGTTCATCGTCAGGTTCGGTATGATCATCTGCGGATAAAACAAACGATTTATCGGAATGAATCGACGGTGCGTGCACGGCACTTTCATCTTGGCCGTGTGCAGAGGGTGAGACGGGGAGGGGAGGAGAGTCTCATTTCTTTGAAATGGAGTCGCGTGAGTCACCGTGTAACTTCAATTTGGTATTCAACTTCCTTGATAAGGAAGTTCGTCCATCCCGTGCATTTCCGGCACGTCTGCTGTGTCGATACTGCGACGAAACGGTTTAATCGTTCAAGGATGTTTTCGCGTCAGCTCGCCCGCTTTGTGACAGACACTCACACAACACTCCCGATTTTCGTATCGCGACGGAGAAACAATTACGTACGAAACGAACGAGATGATGGTTCTCGTTGTAATCCTCTTGGCTTCCTTGGGAACCTTGACTTTAAGAAAAAGAGATCCACGAGACGAGAGGAAATAATAATCGACGAATCGAGAAAATCGTCGATTATGTTCCGAGTTCCGGCTCGGTAATTCCGCCTCGCGGTTGTCTCTCTTTTTTCTTTCTCGTCGCGGTGCATCATGTGAAACGTGCCAACCATTCACACATACACACACACACACACAGACACAAACACATATAGAGTGAAAACGAGCGAGCGAGCGAACGATGAAAGTGGAAAAGACTGTCGCCGAGGAGAAAACATAAAAAACCGATTAGAAGCTGAGAAACTGTACCGCGCTCTCGAGATGACTCTTCTCCGTCATCAGTTCGATCTCCTCGTAACGATTGTCGTTCTCGATTCGATAATTGATGAAATAGTAGTCGATCGAGCCCCAGAAGAGATTCGGCCTGGCCCACTGGATGTAAACGGAATCGTGGGTCGGGCAAGTGACGTTCAAAATCAACGGCGCGCTCGGCCCTGAAATATCTGTCCGGCGAATGATATGGTCCGAGGGCTCGCCTTCGTTCTTCCATGTGTAAGCCTTCACCCATATCTTGTACTCGGTGTACGGTTCTGAAAGGAATTAATCAACATTGTACGATTAGATTGTGCAACAACTCTGTAGTCACTCTCGACTTTGTCGGGGCAATTAAGAGAGCAATTAAGCGAGCAAACAAGGAAGAAAGACTCTTTCTACTGGAATACAAAAAAATTCAACGATAAACGAAATACATATAATCTGTAATCGAGTAATGAGTAAAAAAATTAGAAATGAAAGACATCCGATGCGATGATTGCTCGACGAAGGTTCATGCGAAACGTTTGCGTGAAACACCACTTCCCATTTCTAATCGATTTGTCAAATACACGTGTACGTACGTAGATCGTGGCCAAGAGCGTTTATCACGCGAACGAAGATCGAATTTGTGCTTCACTGCACGAATAACCCTAAATTCCAACGTGTTATCTAACAATAGCGTTCACCTGCGGTCATCGGGCACGAACACGTAATTCATCGTTAGCGGAACGATAAGAGTTCCGGCTTATCGTCGAATCATACACACTGGTGTCTCTTGTTCCTTCACTCGAACAACAATTCTCGAAACGGATATTATATATCGGTGTGCTGTCTGCTTGGCGGAGAACCGCGCCCGTGAGAAAAAAATAGCTCGCGAAAGAATTTGGAGGCATTTGGTACATTATTAGTGTTCAAGTTGGCGCTCACCTAGCTCTTTTAAAAGGAATTCAATGACTGGCCCGTCGTACTCGTCGGTCCTGTACATTTGAACGTTCGTGTAATTGGAATGCATGTAGTAAATGCGATAACCGGAAATGATCCCATTGGCGTAGTCCGGCTCGGCCCATGACAACTCGATGGTGGTGGAGGTGATGCCGTGAGACGACAGGTTCAATGGTTTCGTTGGCACTGGAACACGCGTAAACACGAAAATAAAAGTTAATTGGTACGATTATGGTCGCTTTGTCATACACAAGGGGCGGGAATGTTTGAAAAGACAATATCGTAGATTACACGTTGCCACCATGTACATACACGTGATTGTTGAATTATGCATTTGTTAACATCGAACCCTCTGAACGTTGCACGTTTGCAATGTTTCTCGACTGTATCGCTAAACGACCAGCATTGCATTTCTGCAATCTGTAATATTATACGCTTACTACGGTCGGTATCTTTATCAAACGAGCGTGCCTTCAATTATCTCTTACTAGCTTTCAATTTCGTTTTGGCCTCCCAAGCGTGTACGTGTCGTTTCTCCCGATATAAATTTATTTTTATGTAATTGCAGCCGTTTAAATGTCGTTTAAATCTCGGGTGCGTTGCGCATCTCGATTTTCGAGCGGGGAATGTTGAATGTAACGATTTTCGTCGTCGTCGTCGTCGTCGTTCGAAAATGCCCGCGTGGCTTGGTAAACTATTTTTCCGGTCGATGCACTCGTGACAGTTTCTCTTTGCTTTCCGTCAGGCTCGCTCATCATCTACCAAGGTGGCTTTCCAATTTTCAGCGTACAAAGACGAGAGCAAGCTTGCTTGACGACCAAAGTCTGAATAATTAATTTCGCCTCGAGTGTCTTCTCAGACCCCTCGCGCCGCGACGAGTAACCCTATAGACACCATTCACTTTCCGAGCGACCGCAGCTTCTAAGATCGAGGCTACTTTCTTCTTCTTCTTCTTCTTCTTCTTCTTCTTCTTCCTTTCTGCCTTTCGTCTTGGCGTGCCTAAAAACCCCTTGGTAATAACTACCTCGGCCTCGTGAACAATTGAACCGGATCGAATTTTATCGCGTCGCTTTCATCGTTACGACCATCTCTCTCTCTCTCTCTCTCTCTCTCTCTCTCTCTCTCTCTCTCTCTCTCTCTCTTTCTTTCCCGAACATCTGGCATTCGCCAGTTGGGGGAGAAACGAAACGGAATACATACGAAACGATCTGTCGCCTGTATGGCTTCGCGATTGAATTTCGCCAAGTATTAACAGGGGGGAAGCTTACATGCTAGTTTTCGCACTGACATGCAAAACCAGTCGCGATCAGACGAAATAGACACGAAGAATAAAAGTATTTGTCTATTGAAATCTTTCCTCGCTGTTCGTACATATACAGGGTGTTTCGTAATTCGTGGGAACCACTTCGGGAGCTGATTGTACGCCTAAAAATAATGAAAACAAGCCATATAAATATGTGTCCTATCTGTCTTCGTTCATGAGATATAATGAATTTTCTGTTTTAATTACTTTTACAAAAAATGCTCGAAATGACCACTTTGCATTTGAAGACAAGCCTGCACGCGTCTTGTCATTCATTCTGGTTACTCTCTCCATTATCATTCCTGGTGTTTCTCGAATTTGTCGGAAGCCGTGCTCTATTCTATTTCGTAGTATTTCAGCATGTTCAATCGATGTTGCGTATACAATAGATTTTCTTTCATGTGACTATACGAAGATTCAGCAAATTTCGCAATACTCTCTAAATCAGTTCAGTTCTTACTAATAATCGTAATACAATAATAATAATAATCGTAATAATAATAATAATAATATAATCGTAATATTCGTTCCATTATCACTCCAAACACGATCTTATACGACATGTATTACGATTATTAGTAAGAACTGAACTGATTTAGAGAGTATTGCTGAATCTTCAAATAGTCACATGAAAATCTATTGTATACGCAACATCGATTGAAAATGCTGAAATACTACGAAATAGAATAGAGCAAGGCTTCCGACAAATTCGAGAAACACCAGGAATGATAGAGAGAGTAACCAGATCAATGACAAGACGCGTGCAGACTTCTCTTCAAATGCAAGGTGGTCATTTTGAGCATCAAACAGAAAATTCATTATATCTCATAAACGAAGACAGATAGGACATGTATTTATATGACATTTTTTCAGGCGTACAATCAGCTCTCGAAGTGGGTCCCACGAATTACGAAACACCCTGTATATATATATTCAATTTCAAACGATTCTCTCTCTCTCTCTCTCTCTGGACAAATTTCGCAATATTCCGCAAGCACCGAACGGAATTCGATAATGATCATTACACCCTCCGCAGCGCTGGCTCTGTAACGCAATACTCCTACGCATCAACGGTTAATCGCGTGAACGTTAGGCGCCATCCGTTCGCCAGCGTGTATACGTGCGCGATTCCAACGGATGATCGAAACCACGAGTATGGCAACATCGCGTGAAAATGTTGCGAGATGATTTCGTTGATCCATTAACGACCATAACGTTGCCATTAACGCAACGCTTCAATGGTAATTTCTTTCCAGCGAATTCCACGTTATTAACGTTCACGTTATTATGTTCGGACGAAAAGAGCGTCAAATTTGTTTCGCGAGCGGAGAGAAGTAGAATGTACAGAAATGGACAAAAGTATTTGCACGCTAGATATTTTAAGCTGTTTAAACTTCGTAAAACAGATTCGTACGACAATCCAGTTGGCTTCGTTTTAGAGCGTGAAACCTCTACTTCGCTAACCTTGGATTCTTTTTCTCCGCATCATGCGGCAGATGGAATCAGTTTTTACAGTCGTAAAAATTGAAACACTGGCGTTGAGTTTCTATTCGCGACTTGAACTACCATCGTCTTCAAGCTCGAAGTCTTCCGTTTAGGTTATGTTCCCTTGAAACATACTGCACAATCTTTCGTCGACATTTTATTGTTGATCCTCCGAACCATCAGAGTTCAACGACGAAAATTCAAGAAATCTCAACATTTTGATATTTAACTCTTAATTGATTAAAAGATCAATGAAACACTGAGAAAAAATTGTACAAGTTCTAAAGTTGATTGAAAGAGAAAATTTCAATCTTCAAGACCACGGTTCGATTAGATTCAGTTCGCGAAAGAAATTTTTTTTAATCTTCTCAGAGGCATTTGAATTTTGACAATTTTCAAGAACAAGAGTATCGTTTCGCTAGACGACAACGTGAAAGCATGTTTGCACAGAACTGACGTAGGGCTGTAAGAAAAGTGGAGGCTTCTCACTTCAAAACGAGGCCAACTGGACTGTTTTGACACGGCTCTCCTTTTTCTACAATGTTGTGAACAAATTCAAATGTAAACTCTTCAATGTTTCATCGAGCACTCTCGTTAACCTCTGTACAATATTGGATAATAGAAGTATCGGCGTGCTAAGTAAACACCGTGAATGAACGTTTGTTTACGAGCAACGAGAAGACCAGAGGTTAGACCTAAGTTTCACCTAATAACCTGACGGGGAAGCCGAAGTTCCAGTCACGAAACGCTTTAATTCTCGCTTTCCCCCGACAACACGCGATACGCCCGTAATTTCAAAGAGTCTCGAAAGCACGTTCAGGCGAGTCGTTGCATTTTACGCGCTCCAGACCCGCCGGCTGATTTGTGCATTCCCGCGCAGTCGACGATGTTTTCGTGACGTTTCGTCGCAAAGGCATCTCGCGACGCGTCTCGTTTCACGCGACCCTCCACCCTCGAGCGTGCAGCTTTTCTTCGCCGCTGAAAAACCAAGCTCGAAGCAAGGGAACAGAGCCTTCTCCCCCATCCTCCCCTTTTTTTTTCATTCGCATTCACGTCTCGTTCGCGACGACGAGTCTTTAAACCTTTAGGATTCGCAGCCGAATCGCGTCGCATCTCGGCACGCGACTCCTGAAAAATGAACGCGATCGCGTATAGTGCATATTACGGCAAGGTCGTGCGGGCGAGAAGAAAACTCGAGAAGAGAGAGAATCGACCGCTTCGATTACTCGTCGATGACTCGCGCCTGCCTTTTTGTCCGTTCGTTTTTCCGCGTTGCGCTGAGGGGGAAAAAAAAAGCTCTCTCGATTGTTCCCATCTTATCGATCAAAGACCGCGGTCCCAACGCTGCCGGGCGAGCCAACGCTGACGTTGTAAAGTTTTCAATTAGGAACGTCGAAGTTTGCGGATGAATTCGCTTCGGATGAACTCGCTCGACACCCTGTTTTTCTTGGACAGGCGCGGTTCAGGCAACGACTTTCCTTCGTAGTCGAACGCGACTGACCGGTTCGATTAACGTCAGGAAACGCAAGAATTCTTATATAATATACCTGTTGGCTCTTTGACAAGTATTTAACGAACGATTCATATTGAACGATCTCGAGAAAGAGAGAAAAAGAGAGAGAGAGAGGAAATCACTCTTTGGGGTGAAAGAAGACTGGAATCGGGATTGTTACGAAACTGTGTTTTACGTAACGAAATTGAAAGAAATATTACTCAAAGTGGTGCAAGTTTCCGGCCGGATTGATTTTTCTCACTTTAATGCTTTCAAAGAGTCACGACAAGTTGCCGTCAAAATTCTATAAAATTAATTAGAATTCTTTAAAGTATCGCTTCCCATAATTTAGAAATAATTCAGAGCATTCCATTGCCGAAAGCATGGTAGCAAAGCGTGGTTTCGCGCTGCGCGAGAGAGCCACAGGCGAAAGTAGCTTTATTAGGATCAGTTCGCGAACGAGTAAGACGGCGCGCCAGTGAAAGGAAACGGCTGATAAGAAAAGCTACCTGCTTTCTCGTTTCCCGAACGACAAGTTTATGAACTTGAAACGTACTCGACGCCTAGCTTCCCGATGCTCGATTGCGATTTCGTTCTCGAACCGATGCCACAATGCCGCTTAACGCGTTTCACGTCGAGTGACTCACGGCACTCCTCAAAGCTGAACACGCTATCTCGAAGAATACTAGGAATCTAAGCCAGTCCGAATGTTCAACCGGCGTTGAAACTACGAAAAACCCAAGCTTCGATTCAGTTCAACATCGAGCTTTTTCCAATATTAATTCCGCTCTCCTGGCGGGGAAGATGCATTATTTATTAGAACCATCATTTTATAGAGAAGCTTTATAAATAATTTTATTATTTTAAACATCGTAACGATCGAACCCGTCAATATGACTGGCCTCGCACATTTGTTTTCTTTACAAACTAACGGTAATACTCTTGCCGAAATTAATATTAATTTCTGTTTGGGCAGACACATGATTGTGCACGGATCTATCTTTATTTTAATTATAACGACGTATATGTAGAATATTTTGTCACGGTTGTTCCAGCGTTCGTATTTTCGTTAACCAACGAAAATCATGTATACGTGCGCGACGCCCGACGTAAAACTCGACAAAGGCGTGAATTTGTGACAATTTAAATAAATATCCGCGTATACGATTCGCGCAGTATCGCGGCACTCATGTTTCAATCATCGGTTCGCTTTTATTTCAAAGGTATAATTCATTCGTTCTACGTGGAAGCTCCTTTTCAGACGAACGATCAACAAGAACATAAAGTTCGCAACTCTGTATAATGGTCGCTGGATAACAGACGGTTTACGATCATGATTCACACTCAGAGGCAAAATGCACCGCCGTGCAAAATTGCATCACCGTTTCTTTTATTCCGGTGGAGCGACTTCAAAAGCGTTACATATTTCAGCTCACGCCATCGACTACAAAGGCATCGAACGTTAACGAACGTCCACGCTGGCCGCGTCGGTGCAAGGTGAGCCTCGGTGAGAGCGAAAGTCCATTAAGAGGCCATTAATTCACGATACGCGTTCTCCGCGATGGGCATTAGCAAACGGGCAGAAACACGGGCTAAACATTTTCGAGCATGCGAGTTCGAGAGTGTGTCCGACCTTGAGGTCCTCTCCTCACCTGCGTAAAAATAGACCAGACGACTGCCACGAGTACGATTCGACGTGCTTCGACTTCCAAAAACGAGGGAGAGAGAGAGAGAGAGAGAGAGACAGAGAGAAACTACATTGGACAGGGTCGAATTTTCATAATTTTATATCTACTGAGGTTATTATACGCAGTAAGGTTAGTCGAAGCATGGCTGTTGCAACGATGCAGAATGAAAGAGAGAGAGAGAGAGAGAGAGAGAGAGAGAGAGAAGAAATCCGTATTTTGCACGCGAAGCACGCGTTCAGGCGAGTTGACGATCACCGTCAAGAAGAATGGTTTGCGAGACTGGACCGAAACGACGGCAGCGCGCGAAGAAAAGGCCCGAGCGTTTCGCCAGGCGGAAATGCGTCTCGCTTCCTGGATTCGGAGGGAGCACGCGAGATCAGGTGACGACGATTTCTCGACGCCTGTGCTTCCTCCCGCGCGGCGGGAAACTAGTTTCGCAGCTACGGAACCTGATCACGAGTCGGAGGAAACGCAACGCGCTGTTTTCATGCCTTCGTGACAGCGTGCACGCCCGCGAATCGGCGTTAAACCGCTTACGTAACGTTGCGCGGCGGCGGAGGTGCGTTTGAAAAGAACCAGAGCTGGATGGAGGCGAAGCAGCAGTGGGATCGAGAGAGGGAGGGAGATACCTGTGCTAGCCTGGACAGGCGGAGACGTAGATTCCGCGAGAGAAATGTAATACATGCGTGCTGCACCTCGTTCCCCGGAATCGAGACGGAAAAGGAAATGAGCGAGCTGGCGCGCGCCACACCGAGAAAATCCTTCTCGTGGCGAACGCTGCGTGCTGAAACGCGATTATCCACCGGCGATCCAGAGGAATATGCCACGAAGATTCGGTCGCGAAGAATTTTTTTTTTTTTTTTTCCTCAACATGGAAAATCGTAATAAGCGGGCAATTTCGCACTCGTGCACGCGATATTTAGTAACCGGTGCTTCTTTCGTAATGTAGCGGGCCATCGTCGGTAAATCGGCCGGACTTAATCGCGTTCATAAATTTCCGGCTGTTTCAGAACGGTCGTAATAAGCAGAGGATTGTTCGCCAATCCAATGACATCCTACACACCCATAGAGAAAGAGAGAGAGAGAGATTTTATTGGCGAGAATACAATAATAATTTCGTCGCGGTCTATTCATCGCAGGCAGTGAATCGGTGCGGGACCAGCGATACTGGTAATTAATTGAATAAATCACGAGTGCCTTTTGCGCCTCGTTGTCTGCTTCCTTTTCCCCCGATACTTTCCGGTTTAACGGTACCTGCTTTGCAAAAATACGCTCTGCTCCATTCGTAATTAATTCCTCTCATTCGTTCTCTCTTCTTTTCTTTTTTATACGGGCGCGATATACAGAGGAATTATTAAAAAGGAACCTTGGCGCAACCTCGGAGAACGGTTTAAATATTCATCCCCTCTTTCGCCCGCCAATCTCCTTGACGTGACTTTGCCAAGAATTTAAATATTTATCCTCTTTTTCTTTTTCTCTGTCGATCTTTTCTGCTGGATATGAGAAGAAAAAAAAGAGCTGCAAATAAAAAAAAAAAGGAGAGTCGAGTCGTCCGTCTGGTCACCTTCCATTCGGAACCTCCACTTCCCATCGAGAAGCATCATCACCGTGTGTCCGAATCGAGTGATTCCATTTACCTCGATAAATGTCGCTGTCATTCTCGGTGGAGGAGACCGGGACCGTGTAGGTGGTCTGCTCGTACGACTGCTCGTCCGTGTACGCGATCGGATCCGCGGACGCGAACAATATCCTTAGAATGACGGCCACTGCGGCCGCGAGTTGAGCGGCACTGGCTATCCTGGCCCACGACATTTTCGTTTTGCAGCTGCAGCTGTGAAGCGCGGCGCGGCGCGGCGCGGCGCGGTGTGGCGTGGCCTGGTGTTTTTGTGTGTGTGTGTGTGCGTGTGTGTGAGCACCGCACGGCACGTCACGTCACGTCACGGCACGGCACGGCACGGCACGGCACGGCACGGCACGGGCACACAGCACAACACACAGCTCTCGCTCGCTCTCCACCGGGCTATTTCACGAATTCGTCCATCCTCGTTGCCCCTTCCGGCGTTCTTCTCATCGCGCTCGTTTTCACCCTCGGGACGGCACAACGCGGCGACACCCACACCAACCACGGGAACAACACGCGACAGGACGGTCCGCGGTACGAGTCGCGTCTCCGCGAAAGTTCATCGCTGTTCCTCGCCTTTCTATCCGCACGTTTTAAAACACCGGCCCCGGGTGATCCACGGGGTTGAAGCAGCCTGGTTTGCGTCGTCTCATCGCACCCTGGTGATTTCGTCCGAGGTTCGCGATCACGATCCAGTTCGATGCTCACTGGCGAACGATCATACGAGGTCCCGGATCACGATCTCACCCCGTGGCTCACCGACATTGCACAGGGGTGGCTGGAGAGAAGCGATCGAACGGATCGATCGACCGTCGACGTGTCCCTGGATGGTCGCCTGAAGGAAATGGGGAAATTGTCGAGGCGTATCGGACAGCCAAGGATCGTAGCTAACGAAGCGGCGATTGCGTTTCGCGCTGCATCCTGGCGACCCGGTACTTGCCGCGTCGCGTACACACGTCCGTGTAAAAAAACGTGACCGGAATATTAACCGTGGCTCGAGATCGAAGCTTGCTAGCCTAATTTGGTTTCTCTCCCGTCCGGACTTGTTCCCTTGCCTTTTCCTTCCTCCTTCCCTTTCCTTTCCCTCTTTGTTCTTTTTCATCCTTTGTCTCGCGACCGCGCAAGGAACACACACTGTGGGAATACAGAGGCGAAATAAAGAGGACAGACTGGCGGAAGAAAGAAGAAATGGAAGAGAAAAAGGAAAAAGTAAATTCAATCGTCGCCGGTTCCCCGGCTCGCGCGTTGTCCTAATTGCGTCGTCGAGTGCCTCAATTAGTCGGAATTATGACCTCGATTGTTTCTCTCGTCGAGCTGCTGCCTCACCGAGAGGAGCAGCGACAGCGCCGGTAGCAACAGCGGAGACGGCCGCCGAGCCGGCAGCAACGAGCGCATCAGCTTCGCTATTCGCCGGTCGCGCAGCAATAATTACACCGGCCCCTCTGCAAGCGTTTTAAAGCGGCTTCCCCTTGTATTTTTAGTACGTCAAGATCGAGGGGACACGCGCGGCCAAACGCCTCCGCCGCCTGTCGTGGATCCGGCAAATGTTTGTCTCACGTTTGTCTTCCAACAGAAAGGAGAGAAGGGAGGAAACGAAGAAAGGAAACGAAAGCTCGACGAACTTCAGCGAGAATAGAACTGCAGCTTCCGTGCGAAATGATCTCGCGTAAGGAGACAGAGAGAAAGAGACTCGATCGTAGTTCGTTATGTCATGAATTTCCCCACTGGAGACAAAGAGTCGAATCGCCTGATTTTGGTAACGAACGTACGAGCGTGCAGAGTAGTCGACTCTGCAATTATGACTCAACGATTGCGATATTAACCGCAAAGTTAGCCGAGAACCGGCCGCGGCGGCGCTGCACGCGTGCACGAGCACCGCGAGCCTTGACATTTATACGTCACGGAGAAACTCTGCGTCCTATGTTCATCCTAGTTGCGCAGAAAGCTAGACGGAAAGAAACCAACGTCGAGACCAACTCGCAATCAGACGAAGCGGGGATATATATACACAACAAGCGCGGAAAAAAACAGTTTCCGCTTGTTCTCGGATGAAAATTCAAGTTCCGCAATAAAGGATGACTCACTGGCATGCGACGTGCCTCGACGAGTAGCCTAACCTACGTGGGGTGTATCGTAACGTGTGGGCACTGGTTCAAGGGTAGTCTCGGGCCACTCGAACGACGAAACGAAACTTTGGACGACTATATGGCGCTGTTTGACCCTGTGGTTAAAAAACAAATATACCATGTTTGGTATACATACATCTTCTATATTTACTTTAAAGTGTAAATTGAACTGTGACTCGTAAACGACCGTTTGAGAGTGGTTAAAGTGGTAAGCAACGTGTTTATTCTTGAAAAACGTTGACAACTTTCCTTGAAAAACTCGCTGATGGAAACATTGTATATTCCTATACGTCCGTGATATTTTCGGCACGAAATTTATTAAAAGAAGGTGGTATATTTCTCGTGCAACGATCGGCAACCTATCAACAATTTCCTGCCTACTTCCGTTTCGTAAGAAAAACGTCAAACCGGCGGAGATTGGGAGAGGGAGAGGCAGAGAGACGCGCCCGTTGCTTCCGATTCCAATATCCTTTGCGACGAAGAAGTATCTAACTCCGCGACAAGTCGACGGGAAACGTGCAAACTCAGGCCTCCACACAAATCGGCTGGTATTATGCAACGATGTATTTGCATAGGTCGCTCGCATCGGTGATATCGTGTCGCGTGGGATCACACCGATCGACCGGCAGAAGAGGAATCGATTCGTTTCGTTTCGTTTCGTGCCGAGACGTCGCCTTTTCAGCCAGATAGAGATCCGAGGGCGAAGGGTGTTGCCTTTTGTCGTCGATGGTACTCGTTATACCTGACACTGCACCGGCGATCCCTTGTTCCAACATTCCCGAGAGAAAACTGTCGACGAGGTTACGTTCAATTACACGCCGGCGAAGGTCGATTAAAGTGAACTACGTTGCGATACGCTATATTTGCGGATACGCAGATAGAATAAATTATCAAAGCGGATGACATTGACATGTATTTCGTGTATAACGCTATGCTGGACGAAGAGTTATTTGTTATTCATGTAGCCGTGATACAGTTGACGTACAACGAAAACGGAAATAGTATGCGTATGTATCTATCCAAGTGTGTACTTCGAGAGAACAAAACGGGAAAAACCGATTGTTGCATGTGTCGCGAATCGTCACGAAACGGCTGTGTGTGTCTCAGGGATACGGGAGAAATTACACCGATGGGAGTTGTTCGAGGAAAATCGAAATTCCCCGGTGGAGACACTCGCATGGTCAATTGAACGTGCCGATCCAGCGTCATTTTGGCACCGTGCGAAGAACCCTTCACGCCATATCGACCCTTCAACCTCGAGCCACGATTCCGCCCACGTCGAACTCTCGACCCGGACCACTTACTGAACCAATCATTACCATGCGATTCTCGGCGCCTGTCGGTGTATCCTCGATCTGTCTTGAGGAAGTACAAAAAAGGAAAGAAAAAAAAAAAAAAAGAAAAGAAGAAGACAAGAAAAAGAACCGGAAAAGACGGTAACTGGTACCGTACGGCGTGGTGCGCGCAAATTCACTGAAAACTTTCTCACACTAGGCGTCACTGACACTGAAGAGGCGTCGTTTGCGCGGTGGAATCAAACGCCATTTCAAATGGAACCGCACTCGGAGCATCCACGGGCGAAACTTCACAAAATGACGGATCTGCGGCGGCGAGCGAGCCTAGCCGAGATAACGTTTCATCGACATCTCGGGACGAGCGATGGAGCACCGTTGCAATCCTGCGAGAGTGACAAAACGCACTGCTCTCCAGCGAGGAAACACGAACGCTGCCACGCACACTACTAACTTGTCGCACACGACCACCAACGTACAACGTACTCGCTCGTACGGTAAACCATGGGCTCCGACTACACTCTCTCCACACTCGCTTCTCTAACTTGCTTCCACTCGAGAAGAAAACAGATAGACGAGCACAGAGAAAAAGAGAGAGAGAAAGAGAGAGAGAGAGAGAGGGAGAGTGGGAGAGGGAGAGAAACTCACGTCCACGAACACACAGGTTCGAATGCACACTGGCGCGCTGTGTATGTTGAAGCGTGTACGTACAAAGGGGTTGGAGCGAGGGGGAGAATGCACGAGAGGTACGAGCGCGCGCGTGCACTCACAGACGCACACAGGCACACGGCTTCCCTGACAAGCCGGCCGCGGCATACACGTGCGCCGGGAAATGTGCGTGAGAAGAAGAAAGGCGGCAAGAGGGAAGGAGAACGAACGAGAGAGGGGGATGTGGAGAACGCGTTATACAGCTGTATGTGAGCAGTGGCTGCGCGCGCGCCCGCATATGTGTATATGTGTGTGCGCGTGTGTATACATGTATGCGCACGTGTGTATGAACATGTATGTAGCGTCGTGTTTGTAACGCGTTTCCTTCGGCGGTGTTCTCGCTTATCGCGTCTTCTTCACGCCGAGACAAGGGGCGACTTTGTCGCGTCGCGTTCGCCACGTACCCTGATACTCTCCTCGAGGAGGCATCGCACACTGGAGTGAAAAATCGTGGAAAATCGATCGTGGAACGAAGAGGCGCGCCGGTGGCGACGACCGAAACGGCGTGGCAATCCCCCCCCCCCTCTTTCACTCGCCTGTCTCTTTCCGCCTCTTCCCTCGTTCTATCTTCCTTCCTCTTTGCCTCTTTATACAGCTTTCTGTCTTTATCCACCTCTTCCTTTCTCTCTTTCTTCTCGTTTCCTTCCCTGTTTATCTACCGACGTTTCCGCCCGTCTCTCTCTCTCTCTCTCTCTCTCTCTCTCTCTCTCTCTTTCTTTCCTTCTTTCTCTTTATTTTTCTGCTTGTTCTCCCCACCCAGGTTAGAGGCTCTCTTTCTCTCTTTCACGGACTAGCCGTTCTTGTTTCTCATCGCGCTGTCTCTTCGATTCTTGTTGCTCGGCCGATTCTCGCGCTCGCTGTCTCCCTTGGCACGTCCCTGCCCTGTGCCAATGTGTATGGATTTTCAGAGAAACGAAAATTGGAGCAAACCGATCCGCGATCGCGAGGCAACGGCAAACGAGAGTCGCCGCCGACGGGGGATTAGGCTCGGCATGACTCATGAAACGGTCGGCGATAGAGCACTGAAAAACTCGCGGACGGCCATGAAAATCCCGACCATGCCCTCTCGAGTGAGAGCGAAGCGCCGACGACGGCACACAACGACGGCTGCTCGTGGATGTGGAGAAGAGCAGCTGGAAACCTGCTGCTTGCTGGCGCGAGTGAGCTTTCAGGGACGTAAAATTCAATCTCTGTACCACGTGGCCTGTAACTGTCATTGTCAAAAACGTGATTCGAGGGCCGAGCATCCACTCGTGATCTTTCAGCAACCGATAAGAATTTGGTGGTGTGCCAATGCGCGATGATATCGATTTTGGAGCAGATGTCGCCTCGCCTCGCCTCGCTTCCTCGGCTCCTTTTCCTCAACTCATCTCGTTGCGAAATTTAATCGTCGCACTTGCAGAGCGTGAAATCTCACTTACAATCTCTTACTCAAAGTCACCGAACTCGTTGAGATCATTCTTTCAATGATCCATGCAACGGGAAATGGCAAAGAACAATGCTGACTTTCAAGTGCGTAACTGGTATCCCGATAATTGCGAATTAGCGTGGATGAGATAGTTAGCAAAATTGGTAACAGTTTGATAGAAAAACCAGACGATTCTACCTGTTTCCACGAGGTCTACAGATTTTCTTGTAGTCAGATGCGCGATAGGGATGAAAAGGAGCCGATGAAAAGAAACGTACCTACTGGTGAATTCATCGGTAATCCTACCTAGCAGATCGTTCTTTTGGCGCAGGAACAGTAACGTCAGGTCAGAAGACGTATTGTAAGTATCGGATGGTTGAAAGGCAACTTCTGCGAACGGTATTCTGGCGTGATTGTAAGAGGTTCGGTGCATAGTGAAACGTTTTAAGATCTAAAATTTAGCCGAGGTCTGACGCGGTTTGCGACAGCGACAGACCTGACAGAAAGAGGGACAAAATTGAAGACCGTACGGAAATCAGGGACGTAGATAGATACAAATGAACCATCAGGAAAAGCGTATGAAGAGACAGCCGTCTGGGAACAGCCACCCGTTTGCATATAATTTTACGAAACGTGGCGTTCGCGTATGTGGTCTGGGAAGAAACGACTGATGTATGGTGAATTCTGATGATATTAACTGCGTCAGTTGCAGGAAGATTGTACGCTATCGCGTGGATGTTACGTTACCGAGTGTTATCTGTCTCCCGCATAATCATGCTGGACTGATAGGGACGACTCAAAGAAAGGCATTGGTTTGAAGCGTGTAATTAAATTATTCAGCCGAATGGCTATATAGAATGTCATAAAGTGATGCATAATGGTACATGCTTTTCGACACTTTATGCAGTATACGTTTTTTACGTGGCAAAAGTAAAAATATTACGATCACGACATAGCGAAGATCATGACAAAGTCTATAAACCACGAACGAGGGTTTATCAAATTCTTATCACTTGGCTGTATAGCAAAGACTCGACGATATTTGACATTGACATTCCTGCAAACTTTCTAAGACACACTTTAATTTCATTTTCTCTTATTTCATTAATTTTTTACGTCTTTCCAATATCAGGTGTTTCAGATTTCTTCAATTACGATTGCCGATAAGAGAACGCTGTTACAGGAATCTTCATCTCCGAATTCAGCTAAGGTAGGTATCTCTGAAGTATGTATCGACCGAAGATACAACGAAGCTACTAAATGCTCTGTTTTATCGGTTGGTTCAACGTTGATGCGCCAGATTAGAAACGAAGCGACCGGTCAGAGACTACTTTGTTACTCGTTGGTAGATCGTTTAACGATCAGTAGTGAATAAAATTTTAATCTCACCTCCTTCGTCGGTCATTACGGAGATAGTAGTTGCAGGACCATGCCCTTCCGGGTTGAACACTTGTAACGACACCAGGTATTGGGTATATGTTTGAAGGTTGCGGATTGTGTGATTCTATAATGAAAGGAAATATGCCAGATTTATCAAATGGAAGACCGGTGACATAATATTGCATGTAATGTCAATTGTGAAAGAAATTTGAACGATTTCTTACGCAACTTACGTCAATGGCTGGATTACGGATGTACACTTCTTTCTCTTCCATATACGGTTTGTCTCGAGGTTTATAACCGATTCGATAACCAAGGAATTCGCCGTGAATGGTGTCAGGACTGGGCGCCTTCCACGCTAAATAAATCGACGTGGCGGACGTGTTATGGGCGCTGGTAATTATAGGCTTTCCAGTCGGTACTGAAATAGAAAAAAAAAAATTAATAATAAAATACAGATGCATTAATACGTTTTAACTCGAACACATCGTTGGAATGTATTTGAAATTATATCGATATTCCACGGAGCATCATGAAAAACATCCCTCTCGATGGAATATTTACGTACTCGATGATTTTCATTAATGCATATTTTCATGAATTTGCCTGTTTGCCAAACAAACAGGCACCTCCCCCTTCAAAACAAAGCGGAAAAAAGAAGAATGAAAAATATCGTTCGCGTTCTGTTTCGAATGTGCGATTGAATTTTGAAAATTAGCATGCGTTTTAAGCGTCGCGATGATCGCGATAAAATTTACAATTTACATCGACTCGACTTTACCCGTGTTCACTATTAAAGCTGTGGATTAGAGAAACGTCTTGAATAGAGAAATATCAGGGATTAATGATTGACATCAATGAACGGCCGTGCGAATTACAAGTTTCCTCGACGAAAGAGAGAGAGAAAAAAAAAAAAAAAAACCGATGTGTCGAATGTGGTAGCTAACGAGGAATGACAGAGGGACAGGGAGCGTGGAAACGAGCGGATCAACACGAGTGTCATTGAAGTTTCATTTCTATCGGATAAAAAACATATTTGCAATGATTGTTGGACGATCGGCTTGCAATAAATCGGATCGATCGCATTTATTTTCTACCCCCGATTATCGTCGCGGAATAAAATTCGAACAAGCACGCTTAATCGCATTTCCCATTATTCCCACCCTATTCTCCCTCACCACCCTGCCCCTCCCATCCCCCTACAGTATTGCTCCAGGTACATGCATTTCATTGGATCGTCCGCCCTCTCCCCCACCGTAATATTTTCAACAATTGATAGCTTTCCACTCGTTTAAAATTCGAGCCCGTGTAATTTAATACTTTTCGCATAATCGAATTTTCCCGACTGATCGGAACGTACTATCGGGGCGCACATTCGAAAATAATAGCAATTACGTCGAAGAAATACGATACGATCGGGTTTATTTCATCGCGTTCGCTCTATTTGTCACAAATGTCTCGAAGAATTTATCGACCGATGCCGTCGCGGAAACGCCGAATGAAATGGAATAGAATTTCCATGCGATCCCAATTTTCTCTCTCTCTCTCTCTCTCTCTCTCTCTCTCTCTCTCTCTGTCTGTCTCTCTTTTCCCGCGGGCATATCCGGGAACTCTGAGTTTAATATATCCGCCTTAAAATTCCTCCCCGTCATACTTTGTACGCTTCCACCTCCTCTTCCCCCCCCCCATACCCTCCCTCCCGAGATACTTCACAAGCACATGTTATTTCATTACATTCCTCTTGGCACTGACGCGGCTCCATCGTGCTAAACCACACGCGAATACCCAAGTTACATCGTAACTTACAACCAAGTAGGATTCTAGCTAACAGTTTCTTGCAATAACACGGGGAAACAACGGAATTCGAAAAGTTGAATTTACTTGACGAACGTCTTCCGCGTACCAACGCCGTCAGCGCGTGCTGCTTCC